CTGCACTGATGGATGTTGTATAAAAACCTAGATAGTTAGTTAAGTGCATATGAGTACATGCATTTCTCATAGTCTCAATCAGTCTCTTTGACTAAAGCTATGGAAACCCAACTACTTTTGCATAAAGCCATTTCACCACCCAGGAAAATATTATTTACTTGTATTGCAGTAGCAACCAAAGACCTCGATGAGGATTGAGGCCCTACTGTATTAAGTGCTGTACAAAGACGTGATGAAATCCTGGGCCCAATTACTACTGACTTCAATGAGATCAGAACTTCATCCATGGTCCCTGGCCTAAAGTCTATGATCTCTGGCACTGATGTCAGAGCAATCCTAAAAAACACTACTGTAGACAGGATTACACATCTTCCCTCAAACTACTACATCTAGTTTGTTGCAGCTTTCTGTTCTTGTTATTTATAGAATGCCTGGCGTGTATGGAGCACCTACCAGGCCACTAAAAGTGACAAATTCCCACCACAAGGATTTTATACCTGAAACAGACGTAGCATAGCAAGAGATGACAATAAATATGGGTTGAGAATGGGGAATGCAATTACTTGGATTACAAAGGTAAAGTAATATGAGAAACTATTATTGTCACATATGTTTTCATTTTTAAAATAATTTGTATTGACAATAAAATAATTAGTCTATATGTGTTTGTTAGAGGAGACACAGATTATTAAAAGCTGAACATTAAAGTACCAAATAATCTGATATTTTGTTTACAGTATGCTTATTCCCTGGATCTCATAGAAATAGACTGATGGACTAGTTAAGATGTATAGAATAAGGTCACGCACCAACAATAGAGAGAAAAGATTGTCTTGTGGTCCCTTCCAGTCCTACGATTCTATCATTTTTGAGTCTATTATTTTAAGAGGTCTCTGATGGCAAGAGTTTAGCAAGATTCAAAGAGGGATTGGACATTTTTATGACAAACTGGAATATCCAGCATTATAATAGCGAATACTAACAAGAATTTTGAAAGGGATATAAAACCTCATGCTTCAGGGTTTAAGCCAAACTCTGATTATTAGGGATTGGGATAAGACATTAATATGTGGCAAATTATCCTACCCCTACCTACTATGGAGTTTCTTGCACCTTTGGCCATTAGTATTGGCCACTGTCAGAGATAAGATACTGACTAGATGGATGTTGGGTCTACTCCAATATGTAAATTCCTATATTTCCTATGTTCCTAACCACTCTTTGCATCAGTTTTCTCGTCTGTGAAACAGGGTCACTAATACACCCTTCCTCACAGGTGTGTAGTGAGCACTTGGAGATCCTTGGCTGGTAAATGCTGTATAAGTGCAATTTATTTGTGTTCTAGAGATATGCAGGAATAAGAGTCACATGTTGTATACCCAAAGGTAACAATGCAAAGTCAATGCGTGGTTTGACAACACAGGATCGGGCCAAAGTTAACAACTGTTTGGATGGAGTATGTTGACTTTTCCCCTAAATTGTTGCCATTTCAGTCTGGCTGACTACAGTCAACATAGCAGCTATTTAGAATCTGGGTGTGTCCAAAACACAGTGAGGAGGTGTGATCCCAGCACATGAAGGCATACCCAAGCAAGCCGTGATTGAGACAGCTCACAAAAAATAGCAATGAAGCCAAGGCAGCACAGGGACGTTCCCCAGGCGGGCTTGTAAAGCTAATGCCATGCTGCTATGGCTTCACTGCTGTGTTTAGCAAGCTAGCCCAGTTAAAGAGAGGTATGCCACATGTGCTCAATCACACCTCCAATATACAGGGTGGGCATACCCTGTCAGTAAGATTTTGTCAGGCATATATTAAGTAAAAGTCACGGACAGGTCATGGGCAATAAAGAAAAATTCACAGAAGCCGTGACCTTTCCCTGACTTTTCCAAAAATATCTATGATAAAATGGGAAGGGGCTGGGCAGCTGGGGGTGGCTGGGAGCTCTGGGCCCCCCACCACCGTGGGGGCCTCAGAGCTCCAGGGTCCCCCCTGCCACCAGCGGTGGAAGGAAGCTGCAGGATCTCCCTGCCCCCTCCCCAGAGGTGGGGAGCTGCGGGAATCCCCCTGCCACCGCCGCAGAGGGGAGCTGCAGGGGTCCCCCTTCTGCCATGGGGTGAGTCGGGAGCTGCAGGGTTCCCCCTGTCCCTGCACAGCAGCAGGGGAGCTGCGGGGGTCACCCTGCCCCACTGCGGTGGCGGGAAGCTGCAGGGATCCCCCTGCTGCTGCTGCAGTGGTGGGGAGCTGCAGAGATCCCCCTGCCACTGCTGCAGTGGAGAGCTGCTGGGGTCCTCCTGCCCCATGGTGGCAGTGGGATGCTGTGGGGGTCCTCCTGCCCCAGGGTGGTGGCTGGGGAGCTGCTGGGGTGCCCCTGCTGGCATGGCTGGTGGGGAACTGTGGGGATTCCCCCCCTGCCTGCGGCGGCGGCTGGGAGCTGTGGAGTACCCCCACTGCCCCTGGCGGCTGAAAGTTTGGGGTCCCGCTGCCTCAGGCGGCAAGGGTATCTCACAGCTCCCAGTGGCCAGGGCTGACATCACAGAGGTCTTTGGAAGTCACGGATTCCGTGCCTTCCGCGACCTCCATGACAAAGCCGTAGCCTATCAGTGTCATTGTTCCACATAGAAGGACTACAAACAAGAGTGGATTGAATTTTTTTGAAATAAAGGGTTTATTTTATCTTTAAAAACAAAAGAATTTTCAAGAAAAACTATTGACTTTTTTGAAATTTTCCATTTTCACAAAAATTTTTGCAAAACTTTTAAATTCAATTTGTACAGAAGTTTTTATGAAAAATCTTATTGAAATGGTTATTGGAATGTTTTGTTTACTGAAAACCTGTATTTTAATAAATGAAAAAAATCACTAATCATTTAAATAAACATTTGGATAAAAACTTCTATGAAAAAATGTAAAAAAATTGAAAAAAGAATAAATGGATTAGTTCAAACTTGGCAAAATGGAAATAACTTCAAAACTTTTTTTCCATTTAAATATTTATAAATATTCTCTATCAATCTATTTCCTATTTAAGTTCTCTTACCACATCCATTACCATATTTAAAAATCATCAATGATGGAAAATCCACCACGATCATTGGCAAGTTGTTCCATTTGTTAATTACTCTCATCGTTAAAAATTTACACCTTATTTCCAGTCTGAGTTTGTCTAGCTTCAACTTCCAGCCACTGGATTGTTTTCTACCCTTTTCTGCTAGACTGAAGAGCCCATTATTAAATAGTTGCCTCCATGCAGGTACTTACAGACTGTGCAATATTAATTTTATATCATTCTAGGTTTTTAATCAAAATGTTGTGTGGTACCAAGTCAAATGCCTTACAGAAGTCTAAGTATATTACTTCAACACTATTACCTTTATCAAAGAATCTTATAATCTCATCAAAAAAATATCAATTACTTCAACAAGATGTATTCCATAAAACCATGTTGATTTGCATTAATTACATTACCCTCATTTAATTCTTTGTTAATTGAGTCATGTATCAGCTGCTCCATTATCTTGCCTCGGATCCATGTCAGGCTGACATCCCATTTGCCCTTTTTAAATATTGGTACAACATTAGCTTTCTTGTAGTCTTCTAGAACTTTCCCAGTGCTCACAGACTTATTGAAAATCAGTATTAAGAGTCCAGTGAATTCCTCAGCAACTTATAAAACTCTTAGATGTAAGTTATCTGGACCTGCTAATTTAAAAATGTCTGTTTCTATTTAGTAGTTTCTATTTAACATCCTCCAGAGGTACTAGTGGAATGGAAAGAGTTTTATAATCACCATATAATAAGACTGTATCATCTGTTTTTCCTCAAATACAGAATAAAAATATTTACAGAACACTTCTGAATTTTCTGCATTATTACTGATAATTCTACCCTTTTCATCTACTAATGGACTGGGATTATTTTTGTTCTTAATATACTTAAAAAACTCCTTTTTATTGTCCTTAACACTGCTGGCCATAGAGAGCTTCTTGTGTCCCTTGGCTTCCCTTATCAATTTTCTACAATTCCTAACTTCTGATTACCATGATAGCTCTCAAAATGAAAGCCTAGGTCTCCTAGCCTAGGCAAATCGGACCACTCATACTGTGTAAAGTTAAGCATACATATATGTTTTTGCAGGGTTGAGGCTTTTGATTTTGGCAAACAGAGCAATGACCACCCACATCCATATTCTGCAATACTGTCCTGTTTCTCATGAGTGAAGTTTATCAGCATTCCAGGAAAATGCTGCTGGAACTGGTGTGCATCATGTTTCATTTTAGATTCCAGTTCTATGAACAGGAAGAACAACACTAAATCAGTTGTGTGGAGTGGCTATGAGCTTGTTTACCCTTAAACGGTATACAATCTTAACTATTCCAGTATAGTTAAAGTGGTACAAATCCTCTAATGTGGAAGCAGTGATATTGATCTAAAGATCATATATATAGTGGCGTAACTATTCCTATACGGGAAAGGGAATAAGTCACCTTTGTACTGGAATAACTTCATCCACATGAAGGCTTTTACTGGTATAACAATTATGCTAAAAAAAACGTGCATCCCTAACCATAGGTATATCAGTAAAACTTTTAAGTGTATACCAAGCCTTAGCCAAGCTGTGATGATCTGAAAGGAAATTTCTTTTTCTTCTTTTTTTTAATGCCTGGTATGTTGCGTGCTTGTTGAAACACACAGAGGGGAAAATATCCATTATTAAAGGATGAGTGTTCTTAAAAACTGCCTTAAATCTAATTCACACATGAGGGACTCTCGGTGCAACAAGCAGTGAAACATGGCCAGGGCTGTCTATTGCATTGTCTTCCATGCAAACCCTTTAGTCCCTGTGGTATTACTTAGCCCACAGACACCTCACACTAAACTCTGCAAAAAAAAACCTTTATTGGAAGACTTTTCCTGCTTGATTTGCTCTCATATTTCTTTCATCCTCCAGCTCGGCTGGCTGCTGGATCTGGGCGTTGCTGCTTCTGTGATAGGGGAGAGAGCCTCCACCTCCCTTCACTTTTTCCCTCCCTGGTTCCTCACTCCCTCTCTCCCCCTCAGCCTGGCAGGATCCTACCAGCAGAGCATGCAATCAGGGAGCAGCAGCAGCAGGGAAGATGCAGAAGCCTAGTCAGAAAGAGCATCTCTACAAGCTACTGGTGATTGGGGACCTGGGTGTGGGCAAAACCAGCATCATCAAGCGCTACGTCCATCAGAACTTCTCCCCTCACTACCGGGCCACCATTGGGGTGGACTTTGCCTTGAAGGTGCTCAACTGGGATGCTGAGACGGTGGTACGGCTGCAGCTCTGGGATATTGCTGGTTAGTACAGAGGGGAAGGGAAGTGACAGAGGGAGGGGTCCAATTCCCTTGCTCCCACATCTGTCTAGTATTGCACAAAGTATTAACCCAAAACAGCATCAAGCCTTGAACTGGGAACTACTGATGCTTTAAAAACAATGGAGGAGACCTAGGAGAGAACATCTCAGGTTAGATCAAAACTTCAGAGCTCCCCCAAGGGTGGGGGAGGGAGGGTATGCCCTCCCCTTGGGGATTCAGTGGTAAGGCAGTTCTGTCTAGTCTCTCTCATCTTCTTCCCCAGCCATGTACATGCACACTGTGACAGGGGCACATTGACAGAGTCTCTCATCACTTTTATGATTTCCCCCTCTCATTCAAATTGTTCTCACCCACCTTGCCTGACAATCCTAAGAGGTTTTGGGGTTTGGGCTGTTTTTTTTTTGTGGGAGTGGGAAAAATGGTCTCCTCATTGTGCATTTTCTGGAGGAAGAAAAGGCTCATCAGGATTGTTCATGTGATTTTTGTAGTTATTAACCGAGGAAAAGCTATTGTTGGGTTATTTTAGCAAACTTCTTCGATTTTTTTCCTTTCTGTTCCTCCCCTCTCCCCCCCCCACCCCGGTGCAATCAAATAGAGTTATTCACACTGTTTTTTAAAAAAAAACACTATTTCTATCTGAGAAATAACCTCACTTGTCAATAAATGGTTTACTAATATTTCCTAGACATTTTACAGTAATATAAAGCAAAATTTGGTAAATTATTCTGCATCATGAAAAAAAGAATAAAAAAGGAACAACATCCTATCACGCCTATTTTATTTCCATTTTTTAAACAGAATAAGGCCACATCATTGCAATAGATATTTTGGGAAAGTTTTTTTTTTTTTGCATTGTCCTATATTTTGCTTCTAATTAAAATCATGAGTTTTCATTTTCACAGTCTCTCTTTATAACCATTAATTGGGTTTCAGTGTGCAAAATGTAAATATGTCTCAACTGCATATTTAGCATGTCAGTACCAATTTTTCATTTAGTCTATATAAGAGAGGAACCTTAAATACAACTACTATAACTCAGAATTTTTTATACTACTATAACACAAAGGAAGGCCTTTTTCATTCAAATGAATTAAGAAGTTATCTTTACAAGTAAGGAACTTCAGAGAAAATTTTATCTGCTCTACTTACATTCTGACTTCTGACCTGTATTTTAGGTTTATTGACTTACTCTAGAATTACACCTACTAAGGCCAGTGAAATAAGAAAATTCTTAGCATTCTTTTTGAATAAGGGGATTTTATATACTTGTGTATTTGGCATAGACAGATGAGCTAGCTCATATCTGAGCTCTGAATTTGGCACTGTACTATCAAAACTACTCACGCCACAGAAGATGGTTTATGCACAATATTAAAACTATTTAAATCCTTAAAAACAGATGCAGCATCTCTAATGAGACATGTACTCACCGTTTTTAAAAACTTCTTTTGCATGCCTTGTTCCAGAGACTATATTAAACTGCTAATCATGTGCTGTTGGATCATATGATGTAGCTTTCAGTCAGGCAGCAGAAGGTTTGAAAGCAATTACACCAAGCAGTAGTATTCAATGGCTAGCACAATCTCTGAGTGATCACACATGACAGAGAGAATTACAGTACTTAAACTTAAACTGAATTGCTAAACTCCAAAAATCTCAATGAAGGTCAGTACAGTGCTCAATAACAACCAGAAGTTACCATCTGAGTTCTAGTGTCTGGCTTCTAAGGAGTTTTAGTTGCTGACCAATGTAAAATAGAAAATAACTTCTGTAAGCTACACTTTAAATTCAAACCAGCACAATTCTGGTTTTAAAGCTACCATGAGTAAGGCAGCTGGCTGGTGTGAAAAACAAGTTGCTTGAAAATCAGAGGGAAATAAATTTGATTGGGGACGGACAGTAAACACAAGCAGTGTTTTGTTTTGATTTGTTTCTTTTATTCTGACTGCTGAGAACCACTGCGAGCAAAATACAAATATCCAAAGTATAAGAGGGGACAAATGAAATTCCAGAGCTGCTCTGGGTCTATTTTGGAAAATATCTTTATAAGGTAATGCTTAGCTTTGCAGAGGAAGCAATGCCCTTTATCCTACAAAACAAATGGATAGGTTTGGCTTTGTATTAGGGAAACACTAAAAGCAGAAGATCCTGCAGATTTATCAGTCTGAGTTCTTATACGCTCCCCATTTCAATGTCACTGAATGTACTACCAAACATAGTGCTTACTCGCATGAGTAGATCAATTGTCCATTTCAGTGGCGCTACACATGGTAGTAAATTGCAGGATCGAGCCCATAATTTGCTCAGCAGAAAAAGTAGCGTGGGGCTGGATTCGGAATGGTGCTGAGCATTGACAATTGCTATTACAGCACCACCGAAGATTAGAGCCCCTGGAGACTGCATTATTTCTAGCATGAATTTATACTTTCCAGTGAGGTGTTTGTGCACAGAATAGCTCATTGAGACATAGAAGTAAGAGATGGAAAAGACAAAACTACCTCATTCAGTGCCATCCCCTGCCACTGCAGGAATATCCCTGATGGTATATCTCTTAGTATTCTTAATGTAGCAGAAAAAAAGGCATAATGAGATCTAATAACTAGAAGCTGAAACTGGATTAAATTTAGACTAGAAATAAAGCACAAACTTTAAACAGGGAGGGTAATTAACTATTAGATCAATTTAACAAGGGATGAGGTGGATTCTCCGTCACTTGACGTCTTTAAGTTAAGATTGGATGCCTTTCTAAAAAATATGCTCTAGCGAAGTTATGGACTTGATGCAGGAATTACTGGGTGAAGCTGTACAGCCTGTTTTCTACAAAAGCTCTGACTAAGTGAGCATAATGGTCCACTTTGGCCTTTAAAAAAATCTATGAATTTAGTGTTTTAATCAAGACAAGTTCTAAAAATTCCAAGCAACTGTGTTTCCAGCACATCCATGGGGAGGGTATTCCACAAACCAATACTCCAGGAAGTTTTTCCTAATACACAGCCTACCTTTTCCCTATCTTAACCTCATCCTATTACTCGTAGTTATATTGTTATATATAGTTATATGTCCCTACATAAATACTCTTGCAACTTGGATTTCACACCCTTCAAATAGTTGTAGTCTGTTATCCAATCCTCCTTTAGCTATTGATTAGCCAAGAGATAGATAATTAGCTTTGTTAATCTTCCAGTCCCTGCATGCCCCTTATCTTTTTGTTGTTCTTTTCTGAGCTCCCTCCAATTTGTCAGTATACTTTTGGAAGGTGGTGCCTAAACCTTAAACCAAAAATACCAGGCATAGTTTGAATCAGAGCCTTGGAGACAGACACTATTATCTACTTGGCCTGCAGTGGTATGCTTGGCAAATACAGTCCAGAACTGTTTTGAATCCACAATGTATTATGCTGCAAACTCATGTCTAATTTGCTGTTCACTATCACTCCCTAGGTCTCGTTCAGAATTATAGCTTCCAGGTTTCCCTGTCCCACTGAGCACATTGGTTTCAATATATTTCTCCGATATATTGGTTTGCATTTTCCTAGCTTGGATCGACTCCTGTTACTTTTGCCATTGTCTGCCTCTCATATTGAAGACAGCAGCATTGTAGTACAAACGGGTTTGTTTCCCATCCATGCCATTTTCACCTTCAGAGACAGACACATTTGCACAGATACTGTTCAAATGTTTAAAAAGCTGTAAAGTCTATAACAGCATTAGGTTCTATCACAAGCAAACGAGCCTTTCATTAATGCTGAGCATATTACGTCCTCAGTAGATCATGCCCTTAGAAGGATGCCAATCATTTTGGGTCATATGCACAAAGAAGATAGTCACGGTGATTTCTCAGCTAAGCTCCCTTGAAATTACTGCTCTGCAGTCATAAAGAAGAAGTCCCATGTCCTTAAATGCGCTTCTTCTTTCACTCTTGCACAGAGACTGTCTGTGGTTTGTAATGTGATCTGTCATCATCTACGGGCCTGGGCCAGCACACTATACTTGCAGCCTGATTTCCAAGCTGCTGAAGTCTCAGTTGATGGCAGAGACTAAATCCACTGCATGCCAATTTAGGGTCTAGTCCAGCCCCCACTGAAGCTAATGGCAAAATTCCCACTGATTTAAATGGTGCAGAGTCTTCCCCATAACCAGAGAAAGGCCATTTTGAGGTGGAAAGTCCCAGACCAAAAGCTACTCACTGGGAAATGGGGGGAGAGGGGAGGAAGCGGAGGGGTGTGGAGGTTTCAGAGCTCCCTGAAGAAAGAAAGCTCTTGACCCTGTCTATTCTCCCAGCAAAGGTTGGTGGTTACTTAAACCATAGGGATGGAGGAATACATTTAATCTCTTGTAGCTCCTGGTGGGCAAGCAGATGGATCTGGGCCTGGTTTTGGACTGGATTTTTTGTTTTAATTTTTACTTGAAAGTGGAGGTAGAAGGAGATGTCCTGCCCCCCACTCGCCCCAGTCACCAGAGAATATGGGCAAAAAAGGGAATTTGGGCTCAACTATTTTTAAGCTGTGAGTGGAATTCTCACATTACCCTAGAGTCCATGGGAGGGGATTCCTATTTCCCTTCATCACCAACCATTTTATTTTCAAATCAGTGGGACCCTTTGCCTCTCACAAGGTGACAGGAACTGAGTTGTCTGAACCAGGAAAGCCTGATACATTCAGTCAGTGACCCTTTACATTTCGCTCCTTAGCCCACTGACTTTCCATTAGCTGTTCACTAGGGGAGGCCCAATACCCAAATTTACAAGTGGACTTTCAAAGGCTTTGAAAATGTGGCCACTGTTGTAGTGTATAAGAATTAGATACTACCCAATTCCTGAATACAGAGACCATACAAACAATTTAAAGGGGTAATACCTGGATCCTATACACTACAACTACATTTTTCCTCAATATCCTAATGTAAGGAATGGGCATTTCTTAGGCTGAATGAATGTCCATGACCTAGCATGAGGCTTCGCAGTGAAATGATTTAAAAATGTAC